TCAGACTGGGCCGAGCTGTCCGCCCACTTCCTGCTCAGAGGACGGAGGAAGCTCCAGAAACTGCAGCTTTTTGTGTTTTTATGCGCCCGCTCACCTCATAGCTGCTGGCAGAGCAGTGATGAGACGTCTGAGGAGAGAAGTGATGAAGGCCTTCAGTCAGAGATTCAGAGTCCAGACAGCTGTCAGACACAGAGGAGCTCATTTACAGGTTAAAGCTCCAGCAAAAGGGTTTTATTTCTATTACATTAATTTTAATTTAGATTTACACAGCTACACAGTCCAAACATGTCAGAGTGTTTTCTATACACAATATGTAAACTTCAGTTTTATCCCTTGTCCAGTCATTCAGTCTGAAAATAAACAGATCTTGAATAATAGTCCCCACCATCAGACAGACATCAGTTTTATTTCAGCTTTACTCTCAGTCTGATGTGTGTGAAGCAGCCAGCTGTTCTCAGACTGAAGTCGCTCATCTTTTGTTTGCTCTGTTTTAAAGCTGACATCAACTATCATCAAGTCTCTGTGTTCAGGGTTCTGTTGGGTTTACTGTAATCTGTCTGTTTCTCTCAGGGGTTCACATTGTCCAGGAGATGTACGGCTGTGAGTGGGATGAAGAGACCGGAGAGGTCAGCGGTTTTGAACGGTATGGTTATGATGGAGAAGACTTTTTCGCACTGGATCTGAAGAACGAGCAATGGATCGCTCCAAAACAAGAAGCTGTCATCACCAAAAACAGGTTGAACCATAACAGAGCTCTTATGGCTAGCATGAAGAACTACCACAACCAGATCTGTCCTGACTGGCTGAAGAAGTATGTGAACTATGGGAGCAGCGTTCTGAGGAGAACAGGTAGAGTCACAGCTGAATCAGGGTCACAGAGTTTCCATCTTTCTCTTTATGTTCAGACCTGATAATGAAGCCATGCTGGTCTCTACTCTTTTCCCCTCAGTACCTCTTTATTGTTTCTGGTCTTTTCTCTTCATATTTATAAACTGTTTTTATCAGTTCTGTCTGAATCTTCTGCAGGTTACTCTCTTTTTTCTTTGGCACTCCTTTAGTTTCTCTCCTCCTAACATCACTTCATCTTTATTTACTTTTCCTTCATTCCACTTAGTCTGAAATGTATTAAATTAATCTCAGGAACAAAAGACCCCTGACATGTACTTCCTGTTCACAACATTGTGGTCATCTTCAGTTCATGAGGACTCAGAAGCTTCATCCTTCCTCTTCTCTCCTCAGAGCGTCCCTCAGTGTCTCTCCTCCAGAGGACTCCCTCCTCT